TAGAGAATTCTTCACTTTACATGAATGAAGCTGGCTAGTAATTTTTGGAAAATACTTAGTGTATTTAAACTCCCAAAATTTTCATGTGGTCCTTCTCTCACGTTATATATAACAGGGACTACTGCAGGTATAGACAGACTGATTGATGTAACTGAGAGGATGTATAATTTCTCTGCCTTTATAATATGATCTTAGCATGTAGATATTCTAATTCTGCTCAGCATGTCAGTATAAAGCCTCCTCTCTCCTTCGCCTACTGAAGCAGCTAAGAAATATAAGACCATGCTGTAATATATTTTTGGCAGCCTCTCTGCCCTCTCCACATGCTGACCAGAACCCATGAAACAGCTCGTTATTCCTGTGAGTGACTGGGGAAAATCAGGAATGGAATTATAGCCTGAAATGAAAGTTCACTGTTTCATCTGCTCTCAGAAGAGCAAAATGCAGATTGAGAAGTTGTAATCCATTGCATTTTATAGACAGGAATTATGTCATTAAGTTGTGTTCTTCATAGCATCATTTTACTTCTCTAAAAAAATGAATAGAATTTTATGTAACCTTGACACATTTCAACATTAAAAAAAGTTTTATTTCACTGTTATTTTTTCCCACACCTTTTTTCTCTTGCTGAAGTTACATGACTAAGAGTTAAGGGAACATGGGATTCTCAAAATCTGGGTACCATGTGACAATTCTCTTAGTTTCCATTACTGATGCTTTCCCTATTTCTGTCTACATAGTAGCATAATTTATCTTAGAGGTAAGTAATAAAAATTTGAGGAAAACATATATAAAAACCTCACAGTATTTAATATTACAAATTGTGTCATTGAATCATTAAAAAACAAAAAAGTAAGGTTAGCTTAACATTCTCTTTTCCATTTATCATTACCTGTGAAAGTAAAATATAGAGTATAAATTAAGAACCTTACCAAAATTAAGGTAAAATTAGGTAACTGGGTAAAATTAAGGTAAATAAAGTTCAAAGATGGAAACATTGAGTCCCTCAGATTGATATGAAAAGTATCATTTTGCCATGATTTTTGTGTTAATATTATATAATTTTAAATAATTTTTTTTAACAAGCCCACATTATTCCAAGTCTCTAATGCAAATATATCCTGATCTCAACCTTTTTTTTTTAATGAAGAATTTAAAAGATTTGGTGCTTTATTTGATTTGGGTATGGTTTTTTTAGGGTTTTTTTGTGGTTAACCTTCTGTAATTATTATTGGAGTTTTTAAAGACTTAAGCTAAACCACTGCGAGTTTCACAGCACTCCTTATCAGAAAAAATTGAAAAATGTACAAAAACCTAAAAATGGCCATGTAAAGCTTTAAAGGACTATTTATTTAATGCTTTCTAGGGCAGTATGTTTTTTGTTGGTTTTTTTTAATACTACTTAAATGCAGGATTATCCCATTTGGAAGTCATACTTAAGATTTCAACAAGAAAATACCATCTAGGAAACAAAACTTTTGTTAATCTTGGGAACAGAGTATTGGAACTGAAGTTTGAAACTCCTCCACCTGAAAATCTGAGTGCATGTCATAATTTAGACAGAGACTGTAGAAAGATATTACAGCAGTTCTATCTTTCTCTGTCTGCACGTTTTGGCTATCTATATGGCATTAAAAATCCTAAAAATGCTTTGTCCTTCAGTGTCTTTATCCAAGACCATAAAAGTGATTGCAGAAGAGTACATCAGCTGACACAACTGCTGTTAACTAATCTAGAAACAAAAGGTACAGATGAACTGAAAACATTCTTCAAGGAAGCACAATACATGGCAAAATCATAAAGTCATGCATCTGCATCTCTGGGCATTCTGTACTTGATACATGAACTGCTTTACTAAAAGACCCATTAAATAAGACTGTTAAGTACTCAAGTCCTTTGGCAGCACAGTGGATTCGTGACCTGTACAAGGACTTACTGTCCTTGTGTCATAGCCATGAGAAAAATAATACAAGGTTGTTGCCATAACAGACTGGGGTGCAGAGATCCACCTGTGGTGGAGCCCAGGCTGGAGCGAGTGGATAACCAAAAGAGGCTGTGACTCTGTGGGAGGCCCAAGATGGAGCAGGGTCCTGCCAGGGAGATGCAGCCCATGGAGAGAGGAGCCCACGCTGGAATGTGTTTTTCCTGGGTAGGACTTGTGGCCCCTGTGGGGGACCCACGTTGTACAGCTCATTTGTGAAGGAATGCACCCATGGAGAAGTGACCCACGGGACAGTAGTTTGTGAAAAACTGTTGCCTGTGGGATGGACTCATGCCAGAGAGGTTTGTGAAGGACTGTCTCCTGTGGGAGCGACCTCAAGGGAGCAGGGGAAGGACTCCTCTCCCTGAGCAGCGGCAGAAACAACTGATCGTAACCCCCATTCCCTATCTTCCTTCACCACTGGGGGGGAGGAGGTAGAACTTGGAAGCAAGGAGGGGAGAGGGAAAGGTGATTTTAAGATTATTTTACTTCTCAGTTTTTTACTCTGATCCTGTCAGTAATAAATTTAATTAATATCCCACTTTGAGTCTGTTTTGCCTGTGATCAGTAACTGACCTCTCCCAGTTCTTATCTCAACTCATGAATACTTTGCTGGTTTTTTTCTCTCCTGTGTCCAGTTGCAGAGGGGAGGGAGAGAGTGGCTTTAGTGGGTACCTGGCATCCAGCCGGGGTCAACCTACTACACATTTCCATTTTCTTTTGGGACTTTCCTTTTCTTGTCACACAATCCTCTTTATGGATGTCAGAAAAATTGGAGCTGGTGTTACAAGTACATGGCTTTTTGCAACCCTGAAGACTTGAAAGAGGTTGTGCTTGACTGAAAATGTTTATTTTGTTTCATTTTCTCGTTTCACACTTCTGCACATGAAAAGCTATAATGACAAGTAGCTGGATTTTCCAATGGGAACAAAGAATTTAAATGTGCATGTCCAGTGGCAGTTTTTCATAGGAACTAAATGCTAATAGGAAGTAAAACTAATCACTTCAGCAAGGCAGCAACTTTTTTACATTTTGTATTATATCCAAAGTATAATGGAGGAAAGGGAAATCCAATGTAAAAAAAGAAAATACACTATCCAGTAAAACACAGATAAGTAGACTAAAATATCTTTTCTCCTTTTCTCTCTCGATTTCCTAAACGAAATTGTTCATAAAACTAAAACAAGATACTACTTTCCATTTTAAAATTAAAGTTTTCATGGAAATCTTTTTTCAAATGTGGAATGCAGAATCTCTCATTCTTTTGTTACAGCAGCTGTCCATCATGCTATGTCCTAAATCCATATCTGGATTTAGTGCCTTTTGCACTCCTCAAAAACCTTGGTGATCTCTTTGTGTTTAGAAGTCAAAGTTCAGTGAAAGCCACTATCAATTAAGCTTTTTGTTCCAACAGAAGCTGCTTGTACTTTTTTTGAAAATTTTGACTGACAGATCACTCAAATGAATTCACCTGAAAGGGACTTATTTCAGTGCTAATATCTCAACAGAAAAACACTGCTAGCATTAATAAGTGTTTTTCAGAAAGTCAAAAGGATAGAATTATTGACACTCATTTTGAAATCTTAAAATTACTCTTTTCATTATATTTAATTTTAAAAATCAAAATTAAGTATTTTAAATATAAAATAGAACACATATGCTCCATAATTAAGACTGTATATTTATTCAAATTAAACTTCTTTTTATGACTCCAAATTCTCAACATACACAACTTCTAGCGAAGCAGATGAAAGAAGAGACATTCAGCATCCAACGACAACAGAAAAAAGTGAGCCAGTATTAAAAAAAAATTAAAATAAATCAAAAGTCAACCCTCATTTCTGTTAGTTGTCATTCTTGCAATTAAGAACAATACAATGTAATTAATTCTCTACAGATGCTCATTTTTCACCTAACTCATAGCCAAAAATTCTGTTGAAAATTCTTAACAATAAAAGAGAGATGTCACTGAAAACTGTGTCTTAATTAAGAAAAAATAAACAACGAGCAACAATGTTGTTAACACACAGTTCTTTTAAGATACTGATAATGCTGCATTTACTAAGTTATGATCTGCTATACATTTACAGGGGGAGAAAAGGACAATTACCACAGAGCTAACCTGGGTGGACAACCTACAATTTTTGACTAAGTAGATATTGCAAATGAACTGACATTTAGGGTCAAATGCAATAAATCAAGAGTAGCTTTAGACCTTTCCTAGCAAATACTTAAGTGGTCAGAATTCATAACAACTTCAATTACCAACCAAATAACAACTCCTACCAATTCATAACAACTTACCAATTACCAATAGTCTCTCATATTTCCTTTTCTTTTTTCTCTCTGCAGAAAACCACATTTCACACAGGGACAGATAAAAATTACCAAGTCCATTTCCTTTTCAGAAAAATTTTCTTATGCTTGGATTTCAAGTGTACGTATGACTTAGTATACTTTTTTAGTCAAAACTTTGGAAAAGGCTACAGTGTGACAAAGAAATGTGTCACATGTCACATTTCTCAAATGAAAAGCCAGTGGTCAACTAGCAAACTGTGCTGAAGCACAGCTGCATTTTATAGAGTCAGTCTTGTACTCAATTACGCAGTTTCTTAGGCAGAGTAAATCCAGTCCTTATCACAATGGTGCCACAACATTTTACACAGGCTGAAAATGTCATGCTGCTTTTGTAGCAAAGAGTGCATAGGATACATTCATATTTTTAATGTGTCATTAGTAAAGACTTAGCTGCAGCAATTTTCAAAGTATCCTTGAAAACCTCCGAAACAACTATTGATATGTAAAATAAAACACAAAGCAGAAGATGACAGGCAAAATAGGTGACCTTTCTGATTCTTCTCCTCCCTTCTCCTAACTCACAAGTTACGTATGTGAGATTCATGCACAATAAGCCAAGAAGGTACACATTTTTCAGTACTAGTAATGCTGGACATCATTAAAATTCTTTTAATGGAAGTACATTTAAAGAGCATGAAAATTCTTTCAGAAATGTTTTTACCTCTTCCAGAGCAAAGTAAATTAGAATTTCCTTGGCATCTCTTAGCACTTTCCTCAACAGACAATGGACAAGAACGTGGATGCTCACACTTTTTCCCAGTCCATCCTTCTTTACAGTCACATCTTCCACAATTACACTGTCCATGACCTTGAATAAAATTAAGATTAACTTTTATTCTGATGAGGTAGTAAACTGTCATAATTAGATGAACTTTATCAAAGTTGTGGCTTCATTCAATAATTAGACTGGCAAAAAATTCAATTATTTCACTCTATCTACATTTCCCCCCCCCCCCCCGAAAATAGCACTGGTCTCCCGTTCCATTTGAGCCATATTTCTTTTTTCTTTTCTTCTGAAGGCATGTTTTGCCACTCAGCACATGATCTACATGCAAACGGGTGGAATAGAGATTACAAATACACATTTCACCATTGCTTGGAAAAGTAGGGTGTCATAAGGCACTGTTTCATTTACCTTTATGTTCCTCTTTTTCTACCACAGTTCCAGTATAACCTCTATGAAATATACCAATACCATCTTTTATCTACTTGCAATCAATGTGATCTCCCAAACAATGTCCCATCAATTCCAAGTCTCAAACCAGTGCCTTCTAGTAAAAACTGATGTATAAATAATAAAATATTGGACATAATCAATTCTCATTTCAATAGGGCAGTTGGATATGACTTTTGGCTATCTCATTGGCTAACTTGACTGTTCCTGAGCCTGCCTATTTCCTCTATGAATGCAAACATATCCAGACCAAGAAAAAACAAGAAAATTGCTCTTCTCCCTCTTTATACTCTTTGCCTAAAGCAGTGAGATTCTGGTAATACAAAATATTTCTTGAACCCCGAGGAAAGTTTGAGAATCAGCAAAAACATTCCCTGCTACAAAATCAAATATTTATTTTCATGGCCTCTGGCAGCAGGTTAGAACTCTCACAATTTTCACATAGTCATCATTCATTGGACACAGGACCAAAGCTTTGCTTCAATGTCCACTTCTCTATCCATGTTCTTCATGAAAACATAGCAACACAGATTTTATGTTTCTTTCTAACCGTATTTGCATTTTAAGAATGGCTTGTATCCATTTATCAGTTCAAAAGGAGAAAATAGGAGGAAACAAGCATTCTGTGAGTCATCAGAGTAATTCCCAGAATATGTCTTAAAGTTAACGTTAAAGAATAATATTTCTCTACATTAGTTATTTATTTTCCTTGAAAAGCATTAAAGTCTTCCTCTTGTTTAGAGGATAGGTTTAGACAAGACATTGGGAAGAAAATCTTTTCTGGGTGGGTGGTGAGGCTCTGGAACAGGTTGACCAGAGAATCTGTGGATGACTCATCCCTGAAAGTGTTCAGGGCCAGGTTGGATGGGGCTTTGAGCAACCTGGTCAAGTGGAAGGTGTCCCTGCCCGTGGTTGGGGTTTGAACTAGATGATTTTTAAGGTTCCTTCCAACACAAATAATTCTGTGATTCCATGATTTTGTCCTTTGCTTTCATGTGTACCTGCAAACAGGTTGCGAATTGGAGCTATGTTCCCTAATCCAGATAGATACTTGTGAGACGATTATGTTCTTTCATACAATAGTTTCTTTGCTAGAGTCACAGCAAAGGAGCTAATGAGATGTGTGAATGTATGAATTTCCTTGTGGAAGCCTTTTTTCTTTTGGTGTCAAGTCATGAAAGCTATTATCTCTTTAAACGAAGAGAATCACTTTAATGTTGAGAACACTTCTGAAAGAAAATAATTCATTAACATACTGAATAGCACTTCAGGTGTTAAAAAAAAGGACTCTAGTTGCCAATATGATGTACTGTGAATTGACAGTCTCCTCAAGTCATATGAAACTTCTGGAGGAAGCTGCTCTTGTGTGATGTTAAATTCTCACAGCAGGGCTGTCAATTCCTGTCATTCATAGTTTATGAAATAAACATACCATTTCATTCAGTTACAGTAAAACTCTTTGCATGAAAACCTGACTTCCTATCATTTCAATATGCTACTCAGGACAATGTGATTTCCTGTCTATAGCTATTAGATGGGTAGAATAAGACAAGAAAATTTCCTATCACCTCTGTTTCATGAAGGTTTTAAGAGAGATGGATTATTTTCTCCAATCTGACTAATCCCTCTTGGATTCATCCCAAACCAATTTACAAATAATTGTGAGAAAAATGAGGATATTTTGCAGACACACGTAATGTATGCACACTTTGTGCAGCAAGTAAGTCGTCCAATTGCAATTCTACTATTAAATCTTTGGTTTAATTGCAGATTCTGTCTGTCTACCACAATAAACCAAAATTAATACTCATGCCTCTTATCTATTTCTGAAATATGACTAAGCAGCAGGACTGGAAGACGTTCACATTGCTTCATGTGAAAATGGATTTTTTTGCATAATGTATATTTGGATGGCCAGCTAAGGCTAAATTAGGCTTTTCTAAAATATAATGAATAGGGAATGGATAAAAATAATTACCACTAAAATTTGTGATGACTAGATGGAAAAATTAAGCTATACTTCAACATGGGTTTTAGTTATACTAAACAAGCCATATGAGTCCCTCATTTTGTATGTCTTCTCATACAGTTTTGCTCATTTACAGTTATATTAGTATAAAGAACACTGTATCAGTCCTCAATCCAGTGTCAAATGGCAATATCTTTCCCCCAGCTCATTTGTAACTGTCTTACTTACCCTGTGCTTTCTTACAACCATTGCCATTCTGGGAAGCAGCAGCTGCAATGGCAATAATATCCAGAAAAGGGGGAGTTCAAGTATCAGTGTTTCAGTTATGCAGCATTAGCTGTAGATGCCACAGCTTTGCTTCAATTTAATTAGGTTTGAAACTCTTGTGTTCACCCTTAACTACGGAACACATTTATCAGGTTGATTTGTAGCTTTGTATTCCTTAGCTGATGCTGATATTTTGGTCAGTCCTGAACTGCTAAAAACATTGACAGCAACACAATGATACATTCAAAAATTGCAACATCCCAAAGTAAGTCTTCCTGCTGCTCTCATGACTGCAGTTCTTCATCCTTCCAGATCTTTCATTAAATGAACCTATATAACATTTGCAAGTGGCTGAAACAGTAACTAGTGAATTAATTCACTGAAGGTTTTCAGAATAGCTTCTTTTTTTTACTCATTTTATTAGCTAGTAATTCATCAATATTTATTTAAAAAACCCTAACATAAGAGTTGAAAAAAATTCCACTTCTTTAACAGTAAAAGAAAAAGCTGAAAATTTTATGTATCATGTTGGCTTCTGCTTTCTTTCTTTGTTACAGACAGCTCCTGTGATCTTTCAATGATGGATTCTTCATTCTCGTAATAGAAGGAGAATATACCACATCACTAGTTTTCTTGACGTGACTGCATTCTTCCCATTATTAATTAGGCCAGATAAGGTTTTTGCAGGATTCATTCAAGCTGGCAACCTCTAATGTGTCAAGTCCCTTTGAAATCACTCATTTGTTTTTCCTGTGTGTAAAAATTGCATGCTGTGTATTGATCAAAGTCCTTCTCTCTTGCCTAGTATTAGCATCTTTATTAGTAACTATACAAAATTGTATGCAAGGAATCTCAGCTTTTGTTAGTTGATACGTGGAGCATCCATCTAAATACACTGAAAAGCTTGGATGGATGGATGGATGGATGGATGGATGGATGGATGGATGGATGCGTCGTGGTGTATTAACCGATTTGAACATAATGCTCTGAAGCACAAGTAGAAGAAAAAGGAAGGTAGAAGTGTCTAAGATGTACAGTCAGTATTGTGCAGCTGGGCCACACATTCATATTTTCCATATATTGATGCTCTACTTGTTCTCATGTCATTTTGTATTTTCAGGGTACTGTTTTTTGTTAACTCCTTTATTTACTTTTCCTTCAATTTCTTCTTCTTGATTATTCTCTCCCTGCCGTATAACATGAAATAACAAATACAATTCAATCTAACAAACTTTCAAATTCAAATTTCCCCAAGAAAGGTTATATCTATAATTTAAAGTTTCAACCATTATCCAATTTATGCTAGGTTATACTGAATGCAAGAGTATTAAAAGAGAGATGGACACTTAAAAGTATTTAATATTTACAGAATTTTGTTAAATGGCATAGAAAATAATTACAGAATTATGTCTTTTAATTTAAAAAATCCACTCCGAAGCCTCTCCTCCTGAGGAGAACTGGAGCACTAGAGAAGAGGGAGATCAGACCAGTTGGCTGCTCTCTTTATAAAACTACACATAAGTCCCTATTATATAAAATCCTTACCTGAACAGAAGTCATCAGAGTATCTATCGTACACTGCTTTGCAGTTTCTTTCATCACACTCACAGGTATCTCCATGAATATCTCCCCAGTCACCAGTTGGGTCTACATCATGGCATGTGCATTCCCCACATACACATGTGCCTGAGAAAGAGAAAAAAAAATACACAGAGATAGAAGATTAACAGAGCAATTTAAAGTAATAGTAGTTTGATTACAGGAATTTACACTTGTGAATTTTTAGCTCTCACAGGAATGCAGTTTCAAAGCTGCAAGTGTTAATCATGAGCGAGTGTTCATCTTCTATGATTAGTTAGTAGCAATACTTTATACCAACAAATTGGCTTTCTGTTCAAGTTTCTTTTTGCTGTTTGAGCCTTGTTAGGAATCAACAGAAAAATGTAGTGCACAGAACAGTCATAAATCTTTGACATCAACAGTAATTTGCCCTGACAGTAATGACAATAAAAATCAATTCTGTTTAAATGAGTTGGGCTTGGGCACAATAGATAATTAATGGTTGTTAAAGCATAAATATTAAGACTACAATGGAATACAAATTCTAATCCAGTTGAAAATGTCTAGGAGGTTATTCTTTACCTAAGAAGAACTGCAGCACAGATCTATATGAAAAGGATATTTATCCACTTTCCCAAGTCAATATTCAGGGCCACACCCAGTTGTTTACAATAAAAGAAATGTGAAATATGACAGAAATACAAATTTGGCACAATCCTACTAATATACTGAGAACACTTAGGAAAATCTGAACAACAACAACAAAAAAACCCCAGTTTCCTTCTTCAGAAGGCCAAATATGCTTCAGGACCACAGATTCACTGCTTTTTCTGAGATGCCAACAGGTCCTTAGAAGCAACCTGACCTTACTGATGCATGCAGCTCATTTCCTGCAAAGGAGCTCCACCTTTTGCTACTCTGCCAACACCTTTGTCATCTTATTCAGATACTCTAAACAATATAATGCATTTGAGGACAACAGTACATATAGATATGAGCACTTTCTCTAAAAGGGTAAGGTCGACACAACTGTGTATGCATGACACTTAAATGAAGCAGGAAAGTCTAAAGCCACCAAGGCAGCCCTCAGGAAATTTGCACCTGATTTTTTTATACGTTCACAATTCAGTGACATTATTGAAGAAGAAAAAAATCCAAACCAACCAACAAACAAAAAACCAAAAAGCAAACACCTCCAGAGGGTGATTAATCCTCCCAGAAACAACTTCAAAGTGAATTTGGATCAGCTGTCCTGGATATCAAAATGCGAAACACCATTTCTCCAAAATTTAAAAATCTAAAGGTTCACATCTGGTCTCAGCTGGTTGACCAGACAGTTGTGGGGGGAAAGAGAGAGACAATTTATCCAACTTAGCACTGAAGGAGGGTAGACAGCAAGGTTAACCCCAATATTTGATTTTTACAAGTCTCAAGATTGACAAGATGAACTGCACTTATACAGCAAGGTGTATAAACACTAAAACCTGGATAAGTAGGACTAAATGGAGCAAAAATACCGTGTTCGAAAGCAACTTCATGTCATAGAAGTCTACAAATGTTTTATGAAAATAAAATCACAAATACACGAAAAGCTAAAGATATAGAAGTATCCCACAAATGTACCTTGGTATAGGAGGTTGTAAGTACCCAGAATACCACAAGAAATTACTTTCTCAGTGCAAAGAAAGTATCTGATCTGAAGCTACTTTGATTATTATTTCCAGAATTACACAAAAATTTTATGTTAAAGTCACAAGACTAAATGGGCCTACATGATCTCTGTATTTCTCTTCTCATAATTATGAGAAGAGAATTTTCTAAATTCTCTCAAGATAATTTGATGTTTGCAGTACAGCAGGTTTTGTCAGCAGAGAGTGACTTTTGCTTATGGTCTACTGTAATATTTCTGGACTATTGCCAAAAAAATCCCTCATATTTTTTTAACTCTTTGTTCAATGAAGCCAAACACAGCAGCTAGTAAAAAACAACTTTATTTTATGCCCTTTTTTTTTCCAAAATGGCAAAATTAAACAGAAGTATATGGTAAAATTCAAATTCCAAAACTCTGTGCAAATAAAACACCAGGTAGTTAGAAATACTGTGTGAAGTCTACCTTCCTCACCATTGTTACTGAACACTTCACAGGTTTTTTTTTTACAACAAATTATCCTGCTCAGTCTTACTACAAAACTAAAAGATGAGACCAACTTAGGTTTGCTTAATCAAGAAATGGATGTGGATCTGTTTAAGTTTATACTTAAACACAGGTATCTGCCCACTCACTTGGAAATGTATATCCAGACCTGAAATAGCTGAGAACAAACTAGAAACTATCAGCAAACACAGTGTCATACTGTAGCAAATGCATAGAGCAAAATAAAAGCAAGTTATATAAATATGCATAGAAGGACCGTGCAAATGACACACCTCTGTTGCTGCAGATTTTGCCATCTGGAGACGTGCATCTTTTCTTGATCTCCCAGGGGGTGATGTCACACTGGAATTCACATTTATCTCCATGCCAACCAGCCTCACAGTAACAGTTTCCACAGTAACACTTTCCATGGCCTTAAGCCAAAACAAATTTTATACAGTGAGAAAAAGGCAAGTTTTTAAAAGGCATTAACAATTTAACTGTTTTGATCTTTTCTTTTAAAAATTTCTAGAGCTAGACTCAGAATAGAAACAATTTATAGACCATATATGACTACATAAAATAAGACAAAGGATATCTCAATTATAGTTTTCTCCGCTGCTTTAGAACAGGTTTTCATTTAATCACAGATTAAATCTAATCAATAACCACTAATTATCATCAACATTTTTATATTTGTAAGTTCAATTTGAAACTTTTTAGATCAATTTGGAAGATGGTAAGTGTAACTGTTAAAATTTAAGCACAGCTTTACATATTAAGGTAGGACACAAGTGCCCATCATACTCAGCATGTCTAAGAAAGCATTGTATGTTCTTGACTCCTCAGATAGTTCTAGAAAGGAGACCTCGATTTATTACACACTGCCTACACTGTGTATGGCTACTCTTCTTACCTGTTAAGAAGATTTTAGAACACGAATAAAACAATTCATTAAAAATAATTATTAGCAAAACAAATCTTTCAGATGTTCATTTAACAAATCATACATATCTCAAAAAAGATACTTGCATCAACTGAGACTTGATGAAACCAGCTCTTGAACATTTTGACCTGCTAAGGTTCTTGCGCCATGTGCTTCAGTGGCTCAAAGAATTCAAACTAAGTATCTGCAACTCTTACTAGTCTTAAAGCCATAAATTAATTCTTTACTAGAAGGATCAAGTCAGGATCTTGTTCTTCCTTCCTTTAAGTTTAGTAGATCTGGTCATCTCTATGAAAATCAGGTCAATGCATATTTTTAACTATCAAGATTGCAAATAGTTCAATAAAATTTTTTCCTGTTTTTGCAACTACACATGTAATTTTCATTACAATTGTTTGGTTACATGTCAAAAACAATTAATTTAATTAGAGAATTAAGCAGTAAAGACAATCCCAAATAATTCTTATTACCAAAAGCTTGTTTTTGAACAGTGGGCAAGAAATAACAGGGAAGATGGTGAAGGAGTAAATAAATTTAATATACTGGTAGTTTTTACAGATTAAAATATCAGAACTTCATGCTTCATTCACACTTTTATACTCCTCAAATAAATATGAATTAAATGATAAAATATGCCACTATCACTTTCTCTTGACAGAAGAAAAAAATCATTCAATGAGAGTCAAAAAGTCTTACAAAAAGAAAATAAAGATGGGGATCAGAATTTAACTTGCTAGAAACCAGGACACTTTATTAAAAATAAGCTATAACTTGATTCCAAAATTTATGTAACCTGTAATAAAAAATGAGGCAGACAATTGACTGATAGAAATCCAACTGAGGCTGGAAAAGCTTAACACATCTTTGCAACTTTGCTCTACCTAAGAACTGATTTGCAGTTCTAAAAAAATGCAGTGCCCTTTTGCAAAAATAAAAATGCATGTTATCTATATCTCAGCATGACATTGTATGCTTTCCCAGGATAAAATCCCAGCTCCCAGTTGATGAAATTATGTACCTTTGATCTTCAGTTCACCTGCTGTCCATTTTTTCTGCATAAAACCTGGTTCAACATGGGTTTGTACTGTAGAGGTTTGTTAGAAAGCAAAGTAAAATGTAACACCCATAGCCTACCTGCATAACCTATTCAGCTTACAATATAACCCAACCAAGTCAAGCAAACCATTAGTTTATACCTATACTTTAGAAGGCTCCAAATCTTAAATGAGGTATCATGACTTTTATGCTGATCAATCACCAGCTGCAGAGACTTGACTCTACCCACAGTTTGTCCTTTTTTATCAGCATACTTTGATTTCTCCATACACATAAAACTAGTTTTTCACACAGATGCATCTGGTCTTTTCTGAAATATGGAATGATTGGATGAAACAAGGGGAAATAAAAGCTAAGAAAAACTTAATATAAACCAGTAGCAAAACAGGTGGAGGAAAAATACAGACAAAAACAGTGGAAAGAGAATTTACTGGAACCAAACAAATGATAATTTTTTTATCATATTTGGTACCATATGTAATTGTTGCAAGATCCTATGCAAAATAGAAAGTTCTTTTTGCCTTCAAAGGCACTTAAATTAATAGAATTTATTTTGCTCTTTGTGTAAGGAGAAGACAGGGAAAGCTATTTTACACCAGTACTCTCTCTCTTTTTATACACAGACACATCATTAGATATGAATAGTCTAAGAGCAGATCAGAACACTTGTATGCATACGGACACAGTATGCATGTGTATGGCTTGGACAGTATTTGTAGCACCTTCCAGCTCAAGGGCAAGCCTCCCTAGCAATGTAGGCAACAGCATTTATAATGCCATAAATGGTGTGTATTTAAAATTTAGTTGCCCAGTTCCTACCTTACGTTGAAATGAAAATACGGTTTCAATTTTGGTTGCGTTTCTATCTATCAGCAGAGTTCATTCCATCTGATTTTCTTGTCTTTCCTATCACAGATGATTTTTTTTCATTCATTCATCCCTTTCTCCCTTTATCTCCTGAATTGCTTTTGAGTTCTCATCTTACATTTATTCTTGCTATTTTTAATTTTTACTTCCTTTTCAAAATTCTTAATAATCTATTTTTTGTTTTGCTTTGTTTTGTTTTCTCCTATGTCCTCCATCCTGCTCTCATTTGTGCCACAAAGCGTTCACATTTCTTATATTGTACTGAAGACAGACACACTGAGCTTTTAATTACCTTAGTGAATTATCTTATGCAATCCTCTTTGCAGTTCTTCCAGAAAAAGGAGGATGTCACAGGATTTATTCATTCTTTAACCTCATGCTTAGATCATTTTTGTATCTGAAATTTCCACTTACAATTTGCAAACTAAATTCTTGTAAATACAGTTACTTTTATTTTAAGTCATGCATTCAGTAAAGTTATTTTTAGGACCACACAATTAAATTATAACAGCCTGTATTAATTTTCACTATTTTTGCACTCATTCAAATACATACCCGTACAAATCTCTCCTGTTTCATCATCTACGCATTCTCTGTCATCACATTCACAAAATTTGCCATACACCAGTCCATTTCCTTCTGAGTTTGCACATTTACCCCTGCCACACTGACACGTGCCTGTAAACATTTAAGACAGTACTCAGTGACTGCAGTTTATAGAAAGAGCTTCACTAGTCCATCAGAGATAGTACATATTTTATGTCTGAGAAGGCTGAAATCTTAAGATCATCCAATCAAATAAAGACAGACACAGAAACAATCCGTATCATCAAAAAGTCTAATCTTAGCTGCAATGAGATACAACATTCATGTGCTTTGGAAGGGTAGAGTTGTTTTTTCCCACACCATAAACTGCAAAAGAAAACTTTCTGACATAATGAAAAGCCAGAGTGCTCAGACAAGGCAAAGGAGGGAAATGGGTTTGTAAACAGATCTCTTATATCGCCTTTGGTCTGGTCCCACAGTTGTTTCTTGGTCTTTTGAACAGGGTTGCCCCCTCACCTCAGTGGCTGCCTCTCTCCATGACATGTCATCCCAAACAGGAAAAGTTCATTTTGTTGGTCCTAGGGAAAGAAGAATCCCCCTTTTTTCCTCAAAGGGTTTATCGGACCCAAGCTCATAAATAAACATATTAATGAGTTGTACGGTCAAAAAATGGGCAAAAATACATTAAAATCATATCAGAAACAAAAGTATTACCGTGCTGGTCATATAAGACATCCCTTTTCTCTACCTCTCTCACCTTTATTAAAATTGCAAGGCTAGGAATTTTGTGCAATACCATGTTATTGGGGTCCTGTGGTCAGTAGGCTTGCACAAGTTGTTTCAGCAGTCAATGACATCACTATGGCAGAAGGTATGAAAAATGAACTTCACAAGATTCATATTTCTCATGTTACACCCATACATATTTTAGAAAACATGGTTATTGACATCAAAGAATTCCTCCAAAATAGAACTTTTATGCTGATATTACACCACTAGTTTGTAGAAACCAGTTTACATTTTACCTCTACAAGTACAGCACAACTTTTACTAAACATATTAATTTAAAGAACAGAAATATTAGGCAGACATTGAAAAAAATATTTTCAAGAGCTAATATAATAAGATAATAATAATACAATTGATAAACAACATAAGTAACCTACAGAACTCAAATTATTTGCTATAATTACTCAGGAAACAAATACAAATCAAAATTTTAAGAAAATTGTTATATTTACAGATAATCCCCATTCTGACAAATGATTAGGAACAGTTGAGTCAGAAAAGTGAAATTTTAGGTGGATCCTGATTGATTAATGAAAAGTATTTAAATAAATAATTATTTCTATGATTGCAGAGGACTGTTTTTGTAACAATTCATGTCATCCCTTCCCCCCTTTTATTGCCAATTAAAAAACAGAGCTCAGACTTGAAGATCAATGCTAGTCATAGATCAAAAGACAATCCTATCAAGAGAAAATACGTATGACTACAGCCAAAGTTACCCCAAATTCCTTAGCCAGTCTCATTCTGTCCTGTTTAATATCAGCATTCCTATCCTATTTAATATCAGCAAAACCAAAAGCATTTATTCACAAGCACTCCCCTACTTATAGTGGTTGTTCAGCTACGCTGTTTTTTCTGTGAAGAATGGGGCCACTTCTAGCCAAGGAAAGAAAGAGGGTTTTTTTAAGAACTTTGACTAATAACAGTGAACTATACTTATTTTTAAGAGTCAGTTTCTCATTTAGCTATCTCTCATCTGTCTCTCAATTGTGAGTTGCATATAATCTATATTATTGTCATAAATTAAATGTATCATTTACTCAGCATGCCACATGCTAGAAGTTTTATGTTAAATTGGCTTCACATCCTGCTGTGAGGGCTAACTTCTCTGTAACAAGTCCCACAAATCCTTTGGGTTCTTTGCTCGTGCCAGCAGCTAACTTGTGAGAAATTTCGTTGTATGAAAATGTATGGACCCAGAGAGAAATTAAAGGTCAGGAATAGTGAGCAGAAGTGAGGTTCTTGAAACATTCATTCAGTGATCAATATCACGGAAAAACTGGAAGGCAATTTCTGATCTCAAACCTTGACTGGTAGCAAATGCTCTTCAAAATTCTACTATTCTGCAGTGAAGTCTTCTAAATGTTGTTTGGTTTTCTGACTTTTTTTGGGGGGGTGTTGGGTTTGGTTTTGTTTTTTTTTAAGGAAAGGACTCTCTATTTTAGTTAGGATGGTTATTAAATTAAACAATTAGAGAAAAAAATGTTACCAAATCAGAAAATTGAAAATGAAAGTACCCCTTTAAAATTATTCAGAAGGTTTTTCTACAACTGATTTTAAGAACCACTGTTACAATTCAAAAGCGTCTCAAAAAATTGTACAGTTTATAAATGCCTCAGAAAGATATTTGCAAATGCCATTTTTGCACACTGCAAACACAAACACAAATAAGAAATTGCATCACTTCTTGAGTTAATGCCATTACCACAACATTTTGATGAGCAAAATACATGACACAGTTGCAGTTTGACCAACCTAAAACAGCTATGGATAGAGTACTAAAGTAGGTATTCTGAATCAGTGTACATTATATGCATAGAAATAGGTCTATAGGAAAATGAAACACTTTAGTATGCATACAGTTATTTCTCAGTCTTTTGAAACATACTCTACAAAATTGCTAGAAAAGAAATTATGATGATTCTCAAGATAACACTGAGAGAGCATCAAATCATCAAAAGCAACAAAAGACATCTTACCTGCACCAGAACAGATGATATCTTGAGAATTCTTGCACATTTCATTGCTTTTTCTCCGTGTAAGATTGCAAGTAGTTGGATACTGACAGGCTTCACCATACCAGCCTTCATCACATTTGCACTTCCCACAGTCACACTTTCCATGTCCTAGCAAAGGAAGGAAAGAGTGTGTCAAGTCCTTTTTTTTTTTCATTCAGAAAGTGATATTTTCTTATCCAGCTTTCAAAATAGATTCCATCAATTCCATTTTTAAATCATCATGACTAACAGATTAACTTAACATAGTTCACATGCAATTAAAAACAGAAAGGAGATGAATCAAGACAGCCAGCATGGCTCCACCAAGGACAAGTCCTGCCAACAATGGAGTGACTAAATCAAGAGACAAAGGAAGGGTTACAGGTGTCATTTATCTCGACTTCTGTAAAACCTTTGACACAGCCCATCCCAATATCTTTCTCTCTAAATCAGAGAGAGATGGATTGGATGGGTGGACTGTTAGGTGGATAAAGAATTGGTCGGACAGTTGCATCCCGAGGGTAGTGGTAAATGGCTCAGAGTCCCAGTGGACATCAGTGACAAGTGGTGTCCCTCAGGGGTCTGAACTGGGGCCAGTGTTAGTTAGTATCTTCATCAATGATGTAGATAAAGGGATCGAATGCACCTTCAGCAAATTTGCTGATGACACCAAGCTTAGTGGTGTGGTCGACACACCTGAAGGATGGGATGCCATACAAAGGGATCTGGACAAGCTTGAGAAGTGGGCCCATGGGAATCACATGGAGTTTAACAAGACCAAGCGCGAGGTCCTGCACCTGGCTTGGGGCAACCCCCAGGATCAATACAGGCTGGGGATGAACAGATCAAGAGCAACTCTGCTGAGAAGAACTTGGTAGTGCTTTAAAAGCAGTATGGCCAGCAGGTTGAGGGATGGGATTCTGCCCCTCTACTCCACTCTTGGTGGAATACTCCACTCCACTCACAACACACCTGGTGTGCTGCAACCAGCTCTGGGGTCTCCAGCACAGGAAAGACATCAACCTGTTGGAGCAAGATCAGAGAAGGGCCACCAAGATCATTGGATGCACTTCTCCTAGGAGGAAAGGCTGAGAGAATTGAGATTGTTCAGCCTGGAGAAGAGAAGGCTTTAGGATGACCTGAAGGGAGCCTACAAGAAAGGTGGAGACTTTTTACAAGGGCATGTATTGATAGGACAAGGGGCAATGACTTTGAAAGACAGTAGGTTTAGATTAGATATTAAGAAAAAATATTTTTCTGTCAGGATGTTGAGGAACCGGCACAGGTTGCCCAGAGAAGTTGTGGCTGCCCCGTTCCTGGAAGCATTCAAGGCCAAGCTCGATGGGGCTCTGATCAGCCTGGTCTAGTGAAAGGTGTATCTGCCCATGGCAGGGGGTTTGGAACTAGATGATCTTTGAGGTCCCTTCAAACCCAAACTTCCAGGTGAAATTACTATCACTTAGTTCTTTAGTATTCCTTTACAATTTTAGGTAGTAAATGTGAAAACTATTGCACATCTTTTAAACTAGAGTATTTAATTTTAAAATAAATACCATTTGAATATATATCTGATTGACTGAAGAAGATTCCCATCCAATCGCTACATCTCAAAAGTAGAATCTTATTGCAGTCTACTTTAAATGTGTCTGTTGCTGCAGTCAGAGTCATCTGCCTGAAAAATACAAGCCCAGTCTGCAGCCAACAAGAAGGAATTTAAATAACTATTGTAAAAAAAAAAAGACAATTTTAATTACAAAAAGGAGTATCTTTTGTTGTTCAATAAAACTTGTTTGATTTCCAAGATGGTCCTAAGACAAGATACAGTTCAATAGCTGAAAAAAACATGAATCAAAACCATATGAGAGAACTGGGTTACTCCTTGTTTTAAAATGGGAGTTGCCACCTTCAAACTTGCTGAATAACTCTCTGTTGGTAAAGGACAATTAAAAAAAAGTAGGTTATAAAATATAGAATAAAGAATAGAATAAAGAATAAAGATCTACTCTTGTGATTACTCTACTTCACTGACAGGAGAAAACACAAGCCATTCCAGAAAATGGTAAATCCTAGGGTAGCTTACAAAAAACTAAAGACAAAATATAACCATTTTCCATTCTTTTAAAAATTACTTATCACTATGACTTTGCATTCTCTATGGTAGGAACTCTTGTGATTTAGCAGTTTGATGCCTGCTGGTGAAGAAAAGATACTCTAATAAAAAGAGGACTCATTTTCCCATTCCCATGTCTAAATGACAAAGACAGAAGCCACTGTATATTAGTTAGTACCAATGGTCCAGCAGCATTAACCTCTCTCAGCACTAATCTAACATATGATGCATAAAGGAAAAAAATAATTTCATTTCAAATGCATAGTCTGTTTAAAGAAAATGAAAAAAGACCTCCATGAGAGTAGTTATACAGAGTAGTTTCTTGGCTTTATTTAATAAGAAAATGCAAAGAAATTAAACTAATTAAACTGAGAGAATTAGTGGAAGATCCTTGCATACAACTGAAAGGAACTATCAAGAATTTAACTCATATAAATTTGTAAGATTGCATGTGTGATTTTCACCTTTACCATCTCCTAAAATATACTAATTTTGCCATTTGGATTTTTTTTTTTTTAATTTTAAAGCAATGGCAATATTCTGACTGAAAATTTTTGTGAGAGGACTATATTGAAGTGTAGAAGGCGATAGAACTGTCCCCAGTAATTTGAGTAACTCACTGCATCTTCCCTGTCACATAGATGATGCAGTACATTTTCAGGTCAGTTTAACATAGTAATCCTCTTGCTTTTTTTCCCACATCCCCATGTACCAATATGATCCTCCTCAGGGCAAAAATATTGGTGTGATGAAGTATAAACCAAGTATGTGATAAACTGTAAGAAAATTAGAGAAAGCACAAAAGTTTTCTTATTGGTTTCAGATTCTTTTCAGAAAGGTTTTAGTAGGGTCCCACTGATTTTATATAAATTTCTGCATTATTTAATATGTAAATAATTATGATAGTAAGTAAGCAGTTAAAATCACTATGAAAAATATGAGGTGAGATTGCAAGTTCCCAGAAAATAAATTCCATCAATAAGGGGTAGACCCAGGTATGTGAGAATGAGAAACACAGCACAAGAAAAGTGAGGTATAAGACCTTACTGAGTAGTTGGCCAAGAAAGCTATATCTCAGTGTGATGACACATTCATTCCATTTTTTAAAATGTCTGTAACACAAATAAATGCTAAACATAAATAAATCAGAATTTCACTTTAAACCATCAGAAAATAAGGAAATAATGAAGACTGAAAAAAGTGTAAGAATTCCTATAAGAAAAACACTGGCTGTGGACTGTGAAAAACTTGCATCTTCAAACGTGTGGAAAAACCTTTTATAACAAAGGACTCCATTTCTAACTAGATGAGCAGTCACCTCAGAGAGTATATCTGGACTATGCCGAAAGCTTGTAGGTGGAACATGAAACTAATATGCAAGGAAAACTGTCAGATGTCAGAAAATATATGAAGAAAGTGAGAACAGAAAATGTTAGGCAGGGTCAGATCTTGCAAAACTGCAAGTACTAAAAGGTACTTTCATCATCCAAATAAAAAGAAAATGGGAAAGAGTTGCTTCACCATGCAGCAAAAAACCAGTTAAGATTAAAGACAATTTACAGGCAGTCCAAAACAAAATTAATATGGGGATGTTGACTACTAGTAGCAAATGCAGTGTGGTTAATGATATGCTCTGTGGAAATGAAAATTACTCATCTAAGAGGAGAAGAAAACAAAGACATAAAATTGTTTTTAAGGAAATGTCCAGACCAAGAGGGCAAGATCCCATAATCTCCACTTGAGAATACTAAAAATCCTTGTACATAAAAGGACAGTTTAACAACAAAGACTTTTAATTAATCTATCAGGGTGGCAATCAAATATCTGAAAAATAAAAACTAGCTTTTTTTCCTTATAAGAAAAAGGAATGTACATGATCCAGGCAACATAAAAACAAGTGGCTGTGACCTCATGAGCTGTGCAAGGATTTGAAACAAATTATGAAGCATTGCACAGCCAGAGACATTGAGATAATGAAAATAGAGTATAATGAATAACAGTTTTAACCCAAAGTAGACTATCATTATGCTAAATTAACCTGACATAAGATGTCAGGTATACATAACCTGTCTTTATAAGATAACCAATATTTTAAGAAAACAAACACAGGAAATCTAGATAATATGAACACATATATTGGATGCAATACCACTCAGGAAAACCAAAATTATTTTGGATAAGGTGCTCTAGAAATGTAAAAGAATCACAACATAGTTTAAAGGAAGGAAACAATATTAGGAACAAAGGGAATATTACTGGGATAGGAGACTACTGGCAATGTTTCAAATGATGTTTTTGGAACTGTATATGCTTTACTGATACAAAAATTCAGAGTACGCCAATGACATTTGCCAAAGACATGAACCTGTAAGCCCTCTGTAAAAAGGTGAAGATGGAAGACCATAAAAAATTAACTGGATGGACAGTCTGAAGGACTGAACTAGTAAAAGGATTGAAACTGGAAATAGCACAGGATCACACAGTAGGGGCAAGGAAATTATGCCATAGGTTAATATGTCCCTAGCTGGAAATAACAAGAAAAGTCTGGGTGTACATTCATGTCAGCTCTGGAAAGATGGTGTGACTAAGTCTTTGGTTTAAAAGAGTCTAAGATGTACCCATTGAAAATATATCATTAGGGACAGGAAACGGTAACAAACCTGCATTTGAAATGATATGATGCACACAATCTATGTAACACAGTAATGGGCCCAGTTAATTCTGGAAATTTGCCATTAGATCTCTAAACTTCAGAAGCCTGAGTCAAGTTTTCCGATGAAAACACTGGTAAAATTGTAGCTACTTCCAAAGTTGCAATGGTTTGGGAATTAAAACATCTCAGATGAAAGATGGTAATTTAAACTACAACTACTTGGCTGTGATCACATACTTTTGTCCTTAGACTCTTAAATTCATTCTAAGTGCATTCTAAAAACATTTTTCTATGACATATCTGAATATCCATAGGTTCAAGAGCAAAGACACAAAGGTAAAATCTCTGACAAAAAGTTCTGAATTC